TCCCCCATCATCTTCGGAGAGATGCGCCGGGCAGGCAGAGAGAACAGTTCTTTACACCCCCGGCAGGTGGCAGTGCAGCACAGCGCCTCACAGCGCCTGCTGACAAGGCCCACTCCATGCTCCCAGACCCTCCTGTTTCCTTCCTGTTAGGTAAAGTAAATAGGTAGGTTTAATCAGGTAGCCGATAAAGAGAACACCACGCAGTGTGCAGGCAAGGAATAGGAGTTTATTTTCACCTAACTGCTGCCCCCACTGTACCTGGTGGAGAAGCTAGCTTGACTGAAAAGGGGCCAGAGGGCTGTTTAGCCCCGCCTTGACCAGGGAAGGGTCTGGGGAGAGGGTGTGGCCAGGTAGGGGAAGCTGTGGACCACTTGATGCGGATGTGACCTCAGAGCCTGGGACCTTCCCACATTCTGATGGGAGGCGTGACCGGGGTGGCCCAGAATGTGACTTTGGGAGGGGGAGATGACTGCCTCCAGGTGTGCCAGTTACCTAGGTGACACAGATACTTGGCGGAGACTTAGCCAAGAGGAGGGAGGAATCTGCCTCACCTTCCCAGTTTTCTTCTCTTAGTGCTTTCAATATGCCTAGTGGGGGGCTGGGAAGGTGGCTCAGTGGTAGAGCGCTTGCCTTGCATGCCTGAGGCCCTGGGTTCGATTCCTCAGCACCACATAAGCAAAAAGAAAAAAGCCGGAAGTGGTGCTGTGGCTCAAGTGGTAGAGCGCTAGCCTTGAGCTGAAGAGCTGAGGGACAGTGCCCAGGCCCAGAGTTCAGGCCCCACGACCGGACCCTCCCCCCCAAAAAAAAATGCCTAGTGGTTTCCAGCGTTTCTGATGACCTCTACGAGCGATGTTGTGCATCATCTCTGTGTGTGATGGATTTCCTGTGTTGCTTTCAACATGTTTCTCTTGGTCTTTGACGCTTGATTTATTATAACTGTGCCCGTGGTTGGTCTCTGAGTTCATCCTACTCGGAATTCATTGCTTTGCTTGGATGTTTGTATTCATGTCTTTCATCAAATTTGGGAAGGTTTTCACTATTATTTCTTTCACTTGTCTGCCTTTCTCTTCTCTTTAGGTACTTCCACAGTGTGTATGTGTTGGTCCAGTTGAAGTTACATCACAGGAGCTCTTTCACTTTTTAATCTTCATTTTCTTTCTGTTCCTCAGACAATAATTCTTATTGCCTGCTGAATGCTGGTGGCTCACGCCTGTCTTCCTAACCACACAGGGGGCTGAGATTTGAGGATCGCAGTTCAAAGCTAGCCCCTGTAGGAAAGTCCATGAGACTCTTATCTCTAATTAACCAGCAATAAGCTGTAAGGGGGCTGGGAATGTGGCTTAATGGTAGAGTGCTTGCCTAGCATGCATGAAGTTCTGGTTTTGATTCTTCAGTATCGCATACACAGAAAAAAACCAGAGGTTGTCCTGTGGCTCAAGTGGTAAAGTCCTACCTTGAGCAAAAGAAGCTCAGGGACAGTGCCCAGGCCCTGAGTTCAAGTCCCAGGACCGGAAAAAAAAAAATCAGAAGTGAAGCTGTGGCTAAAGTAGTAGAGAAACCAGCCTAGAATGAACAAAGCCAAGTGAGAGAGTGAGGCCCTGAGTTCCAGTCTAATAAGCACTGGTGCACACAGAATTTTCATTGCCTATGTTCAGATTTGCTGATGCTTTTTCTGTCTGCTCAAATCTGCATTTGAATCCCTCTAGTGATTTCTTTAAAAAATCATAACTATTGTGCATTTCAGCTCCAGATTTGTCTCTTTGAGGATTTTCTATCTCTTGTATTTTCTCCTTTTTGTGTGTGCATGTCCTGCAGGCTTGAACTCAGGCCTGAGCACTGTCCCTGAGCTCTTTGTTGCTCAAGGCTAGTGCTACCACTTGAGCCATAGCTTCACTTCTGACTTTTTGGTGGTTAATTGGAGATAAGAATCCCATGAGCTTTCTTGCCCAGACTTGGCTTTGAACCACAATCTTTAGATCTCAGCTATCTTAAGTAGCTATGATGTTAGGGTGTAAGGCCCTGGTGCCCAGCAAGGAAACTTGTTTTAAAGTTTTTGTCTAATAGATCCTCTATCTGGTTTTTCTCAGGGATGGTTTTTGTCAGAGCGTTTGTTTGTATGCTGTATAATCTTTTTGTTGGTGAAAACTGAGCATTTGAATCTAATGATGGAAATGAGAGGGGCTGGGAAGGTGGCTCAGAGGTAGAGTGCTTGCCTTGCATACATGAGGCCCTGGGTTCGATTCCTCAGCACCACATGATCCTCCTTCTTCCCTGGTGTTGGATGGTTCTTTCCTTTGTTTTTCTGACTGTTGTAGGCTGCTTCTGTGCCAGCCAGCCTTGATGTCACCTTTAGGTCTTCTCAGATCCTCCACTTCCCTTTGGGTATGCCCGATTACTTTCTAACCTCCCCTGTAGGAAGTGGCCACTTTTGGATGTCCTAATATTGATATATTATGTGGCTCCCAAAGAGGAAAGTGGGGCATGTCACTTCCTTTAACTGGAAGTGACTCAGCTGGAGTCTGGGGCTACAGTGGAGGGGGAGGGGCAGCCATCAAGGGGACCCTTAAGAGCCAAGGTGTATTTTTGGAGGGTAAGCCTCCTTTTCTGCCCACCGTGGTTCCCACAGCTGCTTGCCTGGTGCGAGGAGTGGGGAGCAGGTGGCTGCTACTGTAGAGGAGCTGAAATGCACTGAAATGAACCCTACTGTACTGTCCCGCTTCCCTGGGAAGTTGAGGGCCTTGGGTGTTTAGTAGACTCCCCAGTTCCTGCTGGCGCAGTTGTGCAGGTGGGGAGACACAGTCTATTTTGCCTCTTCCTCCACCATCTTCCTGCAATTGGCAGGATTGAATGTTAATGAGAGTTGATGGAATAATTGGAGAACTAATGAGTTAATGGTAATCTGCTGTGAGGCAGATCCTCTGCGGTGAGGGCCCGGCGCCCCCTGCAGGACAGCCGCGTCCGGTGCAGAGTAGCACCTTCACTCCATTGCTAGAGGAGCAGGGGAAATTGCCACCTTCCCTGCCCGGAGCTGGAACTCAGGTGGCTCTGAGGATGGAACCAAATGAACCAGGGCAGGGAGCTGGCCAGGGTGCACTCTCCCAGCTTGCTTTCCTGTTCCTCTACTCTGGGAGCTAGGCCAGGCCGGGATCCTTGGGGAGAGGCTGTGGGCTGGTGTGTCTGACCTGGAGGAGGGGCTGCTTTCATTGTTCCCCAAGGAAGCTTTTTAAAAGAAATGCAAGCCACTGATTTTTGTGAATATAAACAGTGTGTGGCTAGACATCGAACGTGTTATTTGAGTCTTTACTGGTTCAGGAGATGGCTCTAATTTGTACGGTGGATTGGTTTAAAGAATGTCTATTGTAGGCCGGGTGCTGGTGGCTCATGCCTGTCATCCTAGCTAGTCAGGAGGCTGAGATCTGAGGATCGAGGTTCAAAGCCAGCCTAGGCAGGAAAGTCTGAGACTCTGATCTCCAATAAACTACCAGAAAACCAGAAGTGGTACTGTGGCTCAAGTGGTAGAGCGCTTGCCTTGAGCTGAAGAGCTGAGGGACAGCGCCAGGCCCAGAGTTGGTCGTGGGACCAACCAAAAAAAGAAAAAAGAAAAGTGCTTGTTATAAGTGGGATTTGAATATGGCAGAGATCATAGAGATCATGGTAAGGATGGTTCAATCTTTGTAGTCCTGGCCTGTGAGACAGAGGTGGTTGTGCAGCTGTGACATACCTTACTATAGGTGAGTCTCTTGTATAAAGAGGAGATTGGGCTTACAGGGAGCTCCATCTCCTGAGACACTGCCTCTCCTCAGACACCAGAATAGGCCAGTGCCAGCTGTCTGCTCCACTGTCTGCTCCCACAGAGCAAGTGTTGTGGTACACATCTGTAATCCCTATTCCTTGGGAGGCAGAGATGGGAGGATTGCAGTTGAAGAGGATCCTGGGAAAAAAAGTTAGCAAGACTCCCTATCTCAGCCAAAGGGAGCCGTGGTGGTGTGTGCCTGTAATCACAGCTTTGTAGAATCCTGTTCTGACACTGGCCCAAAGCAAGAGTCCTTTTGACAGTATCCTGGTTGGAAGCCCAAGTGGAGCTCCTAATTGGGTGTCTTGCAAGAAGCCCCCCCCCCCCCGCCCCCCCCATGGTCCTGGAGATTGAGCTCAGGGCATGTGGTAATAGGCACTCTGCCATTCATAGCACACCTCCAACCCTTCTTTCCTTTAGTTGTTTTCAGTATTACTTTTTTGCGTGTGGCTATCCTGAGATCACCATCCTCTCTTTGTTGTTGTTGTTGGTCCTGGGGCTTGAACTCGGCCTGGGCGCTGTCCCTCAGCTCTTCAGCTCAAGGTGAGCGCTCTACCACTTGAGCCACAGCGCCACTTCCGGTTTTCTGGTGGTTCATTGGAGAGAAAAGTCTCATGCCCTTTCATGCCGGGGCTGGCTTTGAACCACGATCCTCAGATCTCAGCCTTCTGAGTAGCTAGGATGACAGGTGTGAGCCACCAGCGCCCAGCTTGGTCTACATTTCTATGCGCATGTCATATTATGATTTTATAGCACTGAGATGGTACCATCCTTTGTGACATGCCCTTTGGCCTAACCCTATATCAGGACCCACAAGAGGTGTGCCTTTACTTGGTGCCGCTGCAGTGCATGCTCGTGTGTGGCTCTTGCTGTCATTTGTTTCAATAACCCTCTCTAATGGAAAGTGGGGTGGCATCTGGTGTTCAATGCTGGCGCACGTCCAAACAAATATTTTCCTCGATGTCTATTGCTTTATCAATTAGGTCTTATTTTTAGATGCAGAACTGTTGAGTCAGAAGTTAGGTAGAGTAAGCATTTTCGAGCATGTTCCATGCCGCCAGCCTTGGGTGCTGTTTGGGGGGGAGGGGCGTGGGTATCGCCAAGGGGTGGGCTGTCGTGGGGTCTCGTGGTGAGCAGGCCTGCTCTCCCTTTGTCCCGGCCCCCCTACCCCCATGGTGGCAGCCAGTTTCTCCCTCTGTGCCCCCAGAATGCTGTGCGCGTGCCCCGGGACTTCGAGGGCTGCAGTGTCCTTCGCAAGTACCTCGGCCAGCTCCACTACCTGCAGAGCCGGGTGCCCATGGGTGCAGGCCAGGAAGCGGCCGTTCCCGTCACCTGGTAAGAGCAGGGCAGGTGGGAAGCCCAGAACCTGCGGGGTGTCCGAGGCCTGGGGATCCTCTTCGGGACTTGCTGCATGGGATGAGGAGTAGGGTCTCCCGGGGCCTCTCCTCACCCCGATCCCCCCCCTGGCCTGGCCTCGGGTCCCCGCCAGCCCCCACTCCAGTGACAGCACTGTGTCTGCAGGACAGAGATCTTCTCCGGCAAGTCCGTGGCCCATGAGGACATGAAGTACGAGCAGGCCTGCATTCTCTATAACCTCGGTGAGCCCCCCCAAGGCTGTGAGCTTTGTGGGGGGGGTACTCCTGCGTGTGTGGCCTTTCTGGCCATACCACAGTTCTGCTGTTTGCCCGGTGCCGGGGAGAGACTCCACTGCCCGCCCGCCCGCCACCCAGTTGTCTTGTGTGACCCCCCCCCCCCCCCCACACACACACAGCAGGCCTTTGGCTTTAGCTGGCTCTGGTAGTAGGAGGAGACCATGGAGGTCCCCTTTCCCTCCCCCCCTCCCCCTGCCCCGCACGCATTCCCACCTCTGCCTGGTGTCCTTAGACTCCCTGTCCACTTCTCGCCTGTTGTCCCTACTGGGGGACACGAGGAGCGCACCCCCCCCCCCTCCAGGCCCAGGCTCCCCTAACTCCGTGTCCTCTATCCCCAGGTGCGCTGCATTCCATGCTGGGGGCCATGGACAAGCGGGTGTCGGAGGAGGTAAGGCGAGGGGCCGTGGGGGAGGAGGGGGACCAGCTGGGCAGGGTGCAGAACGGCCTCCACCACCCGCTTCACAGCTGCAGCTCCCCGCTTTGCCCCCGCTCCCAGGGAATGAAGGTGTCCTGCACCCACTTCCAGTGCGCAGCCGGAGCCTTCGCCTACCTGCGGGAGCACTTCCCGCAGGCCTACAGCGTGGACATGAGCCGCCAGATCCTCACGCTCAACGTCAACCTCATGCTGGTGAGGCGCGTGCCCTGGTTAGCGCTTAAATTGAGCGGAGGTGCCAAGATGGCGGAGGGAGGGGCAGCTAGGATCCTGGATCCTGGAGAGCCATGACAGGAGGTCTTGGGATTGCTTTTTGAGCCCCCGGGGGATCAGGTGCTGGGTATCGGGCGAAGGGGATCCCTCCCCACCCCCAGGAAGGAGAGAGCAAGGGACCGACCTGCCTGTCTTCCCCAGGGCCAGGCCCAGGAGTGCCTGCTGGAGAAGTCCATGCTGGACAACAGGAAGAGCTTCCTAGTGGCCCGCATCAGTGCGCAGGTAGGGATGGGGGGCTCAGGGAAGCCCGACCTCTGCCCTGCCCCCTCCGCTCACCCCATGTCCACTCCCAGGTGGTGGATTACTACAAGGAGGCCTGCCGGGCCCTGGAGAACCCTGACACGGCCTCGCTGCTGGGCCGCATCCAGAAGGACTGGAAGAAGCTGGTGCAGATGAAGATCTACTACTTCGCGGCGGTGGCTCATGTGAGCGGCCTGGCTCAGAGGCGGTGCGGTCGTGGCTGTGGCCGTGGCCTGGACCGGTCCTGATGCCCTCTCTTCTTCTTTTCCCAGCTGCACATGGGGAAGCAGGCTGAGGAGCAGCAGAAGTTTGGGGAACAGGTGATTAGGGTGTGGCAACGGCAACGGGGTACTCCCCCTTTCGAGATCTGGGGGTCCTGTTCCCCCCAAGATGGGAGGGGGTGTTCCCAGGTTCATTTCCCCTGTCCCTGCCATCACGCTGCTGTCTGTCTCCCCCTAGGTCCCTGAGCAGCCCTTATCCCTAGGGGTCTCCACAGAGCAGGGCTGTGTAGAGCTGTGAGCCAGGAGGTCCCCTTGGTCACCCTTGGCTCCACTGGCATCTGCCACCTGGGTGTCTTCTGGTGGGTCACCTGGTGGCCAGGCAGGAAAGGACTGAGCAGGCTTTGTCCTCCACAGGTGGCCTACTTCCAGAGTGCTCTGGACAAGCTTAATGAAGCCATCAAGTTGGCTAAGGTAAAGCTAGGGAGACCTGGCTCCCCTTCAGCCCCGGGGCAGAGCCGGCGAGGGGAGCAGAGCCCTGGGTCCTGGCATTGGCCGAGCCCCATTCCTCTCTGTCCCACAGGGCCAGCCGGACACCGTACAGGACGCACTTCGCTTTGCCATGGACGTCATCGGAGGAAAGTGAGTGAGGGCAGCGGCTTCCCCCCACCCCCTGCACTCTTGGCAGGAAGCCACCCATGCAGTGTCTGACCTCCATATTCTTGTCCCCCCCACCCTGGACCACCAGGTACAATTCTGCCAAGAAGGACAACGACTTCATCTACCACGAAGCTGTGCCGGCGCTGGACACCCTGCAGCCTGTGAAAGGTTCTGAGGCTGGGGACAGGCGGGGAAGGAAGATGGGGCTGAGATAGGAGGAGGCTGGGGGTGGGGGGAAGGCATCTCTGCGTGGGTCTGACTCTCTGCAATTCTTCCCCTCTACGCACACACCAGGAGCCCCCTTGGTAAAGCCCTTGCCAGTGAACCCCACAGATCCGGCTGTTACGGGTCCTGACATCTTCGCCAAACTGGTGCCCATGGCTGCGCACGAGGCGTCCTCCCTGTACAGGTGGGTCACAGCGCCGCTCCCACCTTTGCGTGTCGGCGCGGCGCGGGGCGTCTCAAGATGGGGTCTCCACCAGCCGCTCTGTCCCCCCAGCGAGGAGAAGGCCAAGCTGCTGCGGGAAATGATGGCCAAGATCGAGGACAAGAACGAGGTCCTAGAGTAAGTTGGGGGCTCAGCCCCATCCACGCGGGGTGACCTCCACCCTCAGCTCCGATGGCTGCGCCGGTGAGGGGGTGCGGGAGGCCTGTCTGCCCCACTCTTCGCAACAGTCTGTGGGTGTGGGTGGGAGTGATGTTGCTGAGACCTCTCAAGACCTAGTTCAGCGGAGGGGCGCCTGGCACTAAGGGGGGAGCAGCCAGCACCTCCCGGTTCTGTTACCCCACAGCCAGTTCATGGATTCGATGCAGCTGGACCCCGAGACGGTGGACAACCTGGACACGTACGCACACATCCCGCCACAGCTCATGGAGAAGTGCGCGGCGCTCAGTGTCAGGCCAGACACGGTCAAGAACCTCGTGCAGTCCATGCAGGGTGAGCCAGGCCCAGAGCAGGCGAGACGCCCCTCTGTGCCCCTGGGTGCGGGGACCCCCCCCCAGGTCAGCCTGACTCAGGGGTTGCCCCCCAATGCTCTCCCCTCCCCCTCCAGTGCTGTCGGGTGTGTTCACGGACGTGGAGGCCTCCCTGAAGGACATCAGGGACCTGCTGGAGGAGGATGAGCGGCAAGAGCAGAAGCTGCACGAGGCCACGGGCCAGGCTGGGGTGAGCCCGGCCGCCGCCAAGGCCGAGCTGGCTGAGGTGCGGCGCGAGTGGGCCAAGTACATGGAGGTGCACGAGAAGGCGTCCTTCACCAACAGCGAGCTGCACCGCGCCATGAACCTGCACGTGGGCAACCTGCGTCTGCTCAGCGGGCCGCTGGACCAAGTGAGGGCCGCGCTGCCCACGCCAGCCCTGACCCCAGGTGAGCCCTGCTGCCGCTGCCGCCCCCTGGCGGGGAGGCCAAGAGCTGGAATTGTTCCCCCGCCTCGCTGACCGCTGCTGCCCCCTAGAGGACAAGGCGGTGCTGCAAAACCTGAAGCGTATCCTGGCCAAGGTGCAGGAGATGCGGGACCAGCGTGTGTCTCTGGAGCAGCAGCTGCGGGAGCTCATCCAGAAGGACGACATCACCGCCTCTCTGGTCACCACTGACCACTCAGAGATGAAGGTGGGTGGGCTGGGCGGGAGGGGGCAGGAGGAGGGCCCTGCTCTGGGCTTTGGAAGCAGATGCGCTGAGTGTACCCCCCTCCTTCCCCTGTCCCCCATCCGCCCGTCTCCCCGGTAGAAGCTGTTCGAGGAACAGCTGAAGAAGTACGACCAGCTGAAGGTGTACCTGGAGCAGAACCTGGCCGCGCAGGACAACGTGCTCCGAGCGCTCACCGAGGCCAACGTCCAGTACGCCGCCGTGCGGCGGCTGCTTGGCGAACTGGACCAAAAGTCAGTGCCGGCCGTGCCCTTTGCGCCCTTCACCCCCTCGCCCCATGGCTCGCCTGACCTCAGCCCTGCCTCCCGCCACAGGTGGAACTCCACCCTGCAGACGCTGGTGGCCTCCTACGAGGCCTACGAGGACCTCATGAAGAAGTCCCAGGAGGGCAAGGACTTCTACGCCGACCTGGAGAGCAAGGTGGCCGCCCTGCTGGAGCGCGCGCAGGGCACCTGCAGGGCGCGGGAGGCCGCCCGCCAGCAGCTGCTCGAGAGGTGCGTGTGCGCGCGCGCATGCGTGCCCGGGGGCTGGGCACCCCGGGGGCCCCGCCCGAGCCCGCACGGCTGCTGGGTGGACACTGGCTGACCTCTCGGCGGGCCTGTCCTCCAGGGAGCTGAAGAAAAAGCCGCCACCTCGGCCCACGGCCCCCAAGCCGCTGCTGCCCCGCAGGGAGGACGGGGAGCCGGGGGAGCCCGGGGAGCCGGCAGAGGAGCTGCGCAGCCTGCCCCCAGACATGGCGACCGGCCCGCGCCCCCCAGACGCTTTCCTGGGGGCCGCCCCCGCCCCCGGCCCGCCCCAGCTCCACTTCCCTTCGGGCCCCTTCCCCAGCTCGGCCGGCGCGGCGCCCAGCTACCTCCCAGCCCCCGCCCCGGGCGCCTACGCGGGCCCCGCCGCCCTGATGCCGCCCAGAGCCCCCGGCCCCCCGGGTCCCCCCGGCGTGCTCGGGCCCGCCCTCTTCCCGGCCCCCGCCTACGCCCCCGAGCTGGGCCTGGCGCCGCAGTCCTCCCCGCAGCACGCGCTGGTGAGCGGGCCCTACGGGGCCGTGCGGGCCGCCCCGGCCGCGGGGCTCCCCTCCGCCCCGCCCACCCAGTTCCCCGCCACCACCACGGTGGACAGCGTGCAGGCCCCCATCTCCAGCCACGCGGCGCCCCGCGCCGGGCCCCCCCAGCCCTGCTTCCCGGGGCCCCCGCCCTACGCCTACCCCGCGGGCGGCAAGCCGCTGGCCGCGCCGGTGGGGCCGCCCCACTTCCCCCCCGCCGCGCCCCCCAGCTTCCCCGCCGCCGGGGCCCGGCCCCCGGCGCCCCCTCCGCAGGCCTTCGCGCCCCCCGCAGCACCCCCTGCCCTTCCAGCACCCCCACCTCTTCCCGCCTCAGGCCCCCGCGCTCCTCCCGCCGCAGCCGGGGCCCTACCGCTTCCCCCCGCAGCCGCCGCTCCCCCCCGCAGCTGGTCTACCCGGGCCCCGAGCCGCCGCCGCCCGCGGGGCCGCTGCCCTTCCCCAGCCCGCCGCCGCCGCACCCCGCGCTGCCCTACTGCCCCGCGCCCGCCCCGCGGCCCCCGGGGCCGCCGCCCCCCGCGCTGGCCCTGCGGGGGCCCCCGCCGGCCGCCCAGCCCAGCCCCGGGCCCCGCCTGGTGCCCTCGCCCGCCCCGTCCCCCGGCCCGGGCCCCGGCGCCGGGAGCCCCCGGACCCCCGCGGCCGAGCCGCCGCCCCCGCCGCCCCCGCCCTGCGCGCGCCGGGGCCCCGCGGCCGCCGACCTGCTGTCGTCCAGCCCCGAGAGCCAGCCCGGCGGGGCGCCGCCCCCGGGCGCCGGGCAGCCGCTGCTGCAGCCCACCAAGGTGGACGCGGCCGAGGGCCGCCGGCCGCAGGCGCTGCGGCTGATCGAGCGCGACCCCTACGAGCGGCCCGAGCGGCTGCGGCGGCTGCAGCAGGAGCTGGACGCCTTCCGCGGCCAGCTGGGCGACGCGGCCGCGCTGGACGCCGCCTGGCGCGAGCTGCAGGAGGCGCAGGAGCTGGACGCGCGCGGCCGCTCCATCGCCATCGCGCGCTGCTACTCGCTCAAGAACCGCCACCAGGACGTGATGCCCTACGACGGCAACCGCGTGGTGCTGCGCTCGGGCAAGGACGACTACATCAACGCCAGCTGCGTGCAGGGCCTCTCGCCCTACTGCCCGCCGCTCGTGGCCACGCAGGCGCCGCTGCCCGGCACCGCCGCCGACTTCTGGCTCATGGTGCACGAGCAGAAGGTGGCGGTCATCGTCATGCTGGTGTCCGAGGCCGAGATGGAGAAGGTGGGGGCCGGGCGGGGTGCGGGGGTGCGGGCCGGGGACCCCCATGCCCGGCTCCCCCGGCCCCAACCCTGTGGTTCCTCCGCAGCAAAAGGTGGCGCGCTACTTCCCCACGGAGCGGGGCCAGCCCGTGGTGCACGGCGCGCTGCGCGTGGCGCTGAGCAGCGTCCGCGCCACCGAGACGCACGTGGAGCGCGTGCTCAGCCTGCAGTTCCGGGACCAGAGCCTCACGCGCTCGCTCGTGCACCTGCACTTCCCCACGTGGCCCGAGCTGTGCGTCCCGGGCGGGGGCGGGGCCGGGGGGGTCAGGGTCACCCTCCCTTGCTCATGCGCACTCCCCCTCCCGCAGAGGCCTGCCCGACAGCCCCGGACACCTGCTGCGCTTCATCCAGGAGGTGCACGCGCACTGCCTGCACCAGCGCCCGCTGCACACGCCCGTGGTCGTGCACTGCAGGTAGGGCCCGGCCGGGCCGCCCCTCGCCGGGGGCGCGGTGGGGCGGGGTGCGGAGACCGGGCCCGCTCACTCGCTGTGACCCCCCTTGTCACCCCCAGCTCCGGCGTGGGCCGCACCGGGGCCTTCGCGCTGCTCTACGCGGCGGTGCAGGAGGTGGAGGCGGGGAACGGGATCCCGCAGCTGCCCCAGCTGGTGCGGCGCATGCGCCAGCAGCGGAAGCACATGCTGCAGGAGAAGGTGGGTCCGGGGAGCGGCCGGGCGCGATGGGGTCACCTCGGGCCCCCCGTGCCCGCGCTCACGTCAGGCCCGTCTGCAGCTGCACCTGCGGTTCTGTCACGAGGCGCTGGTGAGGCACGTGGAGCAGCTCCTGCAGCGGCACGGCGTGCCCCCGCCGGGCAGGCCCGCGGCCGGCGGCAACAGCCAGCACAAGGTGAGCCGGCCTCCCCCGCACCCGGCGGGGCGGCGGGCCCCGGGCCCCCAGGGCGCAGCCGCCCCGCGCTCACCGGCTCTGCCTCGGCAGAACCACCTTCCTCAGGACGCGCAGGACCTGGTCCTCGGCGGGGACGTGCCCATCAGCTCCATCCAGGCCACCATCGCCAAGCTCAGCATCCGGCCCCCCGGGGGCTCGGACCCTCCCGCCGCCAGCCCGCCGGGCCCCGCCGAGCCGCCGGGCCTCCCCGCCGCCGGCCTCCCCGAGGCCGCCCCGGCCCTGCCCTCGTCCCCCCCGCCGCTCTCGTCGCCTCTGCCGGAGCTCCCCCAGGCCGAGGAGCAGCCGCCCCTGCCCGAAGCGCCCAGTCTAGGGCCCCCCTCGTCCTCGCTGGAGCTGCTGGCCTCCCTGACCCCCGAGGCCTTCTCCCTGGACAGCTCCCTGCGCGGCAAGCAGCGCATGAGCAAGCAGAACTTCCTGCAGGCGCACAACGGCCAGGGCCTCAAGGCGGCGCGGCCCGGCGACGACCCGCTCAGCCTGCTGGACCCGCTGTGGACGCTCAACAAGACCTGAGCGGCGCACGGGCCGGGGCTCGCCCCGTTCCTGCTGCCCTCGGCCCCGCCGGCCCGCCCGCGCCGCGGGGTGCGCGAGCTGCACGCGGGCCTCGGTCGCCGGACCCGACCATTTTTTTTTTTTTTTCCCCAGCTCTTTGCTATTGAAATAAAAGAGTCTGTGCCGGTCGGTACCTTGACACTGCGCAGCTCTGACGCTGCTGCTTGGGCGCAGTGCGCGTAGCTGAGGGTCTGGTCAAGCCATGTTTGCTTTTTTTTAAAGAAAGTTTACTATTACAAGCAGGATGACAGTTCAGAGGCCGCTGCCCGGAGGTGCATCTGTCCCAGTCCGGGTGTGTCCCCGCGCCGTGCGCCCTCAGTCCAGCTTCTCCAGCACGGAAGGCACATACACCAGGCTGAGCTCACTGCCAAAGTTGCAGACGATGGCGGCATTGTCCAGCACCAGGATCTGGCGGGCAGGCTGGGCCTCGCTGCTCTTCCCCAGGTAGACGGTCTGTAACAGGTCCCCAAAGTTTAGGTCCCAAAAGGAGACGCAGCCTTGGCCACCGGTCACCAGGAGGTTGTCTGCGATGACGCCCAAGCTCGCGCCGCAGCCCAGGTCCTGGAGGTGGGGCCGAAAACAGGGGAGGGGCGTCACTCCGTGCTGAGCCCTCCCCCAGAGCGGGGGCGCCCCGCGCCCTGCCTACCTGCTGGATGGAGTAGAGCTTGATGCCCGTGCTGCGGTCCCAGATGTTGATGAGGTCGTCTAGGCCGCTGCTGATGACGCAGGAGGTGGTACAGGTGAGGGAGGTGACATCCCCACGGTGGGCAAACATATGGCTGACCCGACTGCCGCTCAGCACGTCCCACAGGCAGACGGCTCCGTCTTGTCCTCCGCTGGCCAGCACCATGGTCTGGGGGGGCAGGCTTTTGTCAACAAGGGGCCCCGCTGGCTGGGTGTGGACCCCGCCCTCCGCCTCATCCCCTGCCTTTACCTGGTCGATGTACACAGTTGTGATGGCCCCCGAGTGGCCCTGCAGCGTGAAGAGACAGCACGAGTCCTCCAGACGGAACACCTGGGGGGGAAGGAGGCACAGGCTCCGGTCTCGGGGCTCTCCAAGCTGGCTCTGGGGTCTCCAGCTCCCCGTGGCACCCACACAGTACGCACTCTCAGGGTGTGGTCCTGGCTGCCGGTCACCAGGCGGCCGGCTGCGGCGCGCAGGGCCGTGATGGGCTTCTGGTGCGCGCAGGGCACGGTGTGCGTCAGGTGGCAGAGCACCGCGTCGCTGCCGCCGTACACGGGCGAGGACGGGCAGCTGCCGCGCCCCGGGGTCCCTGAGGACAGGGCGGCTGTGAGGAGCCCGAGGCGGCCCCGGCACCTCCCGCCCTCAGCGCAGACACGGGCCCCCGGGCCCTGACCTCTGAACTGCAGGGGGCTGAGGGCAGTGTGGGTCTCCAGGGAGAAGAAATCCAGGGAACCATTGAGCCGCGCTGCCACGATCCTGGAAGGGAAGATGACGGGGACCCTTAAGCAAGGTGTGGCGGCGGGAACGCGGAGAGGGGCCGCACTAGCCAGAGCGCCCTCCGTGCCTCATGCCTCCTTCGCAAAATTTCAAAAGCGACAAGTTTTTCCAACAGTAGCTGAGGCTCCCCCACAGGGTACAGCCCCCCCCCGTGTTTCATGCCCCCCAACTCCTCTAGCCCCTCCCTCCCTCCCGATGGCCTCGTGTTCACGGATGGGGGACGGGGGGGGGGGGGGTGCTCACCTCTTGTCCAGGAAGACCAGGGCTGTGATGCCCGAAGACACCTCCTCGCTGCTGCAGCACAGCACGCCCTCGATGGCGTCCCACACCTGCAACGCGAGCGAGCGCCAGGCTGAGCGCCTGCCCGCCCGCCGGGGCCCGGGCCGGGGTGGGGAGGAGGGGGCGGGCGCGCACCTCCAGCCGGCCGCTGCTCCGCCCCAGCACGATGAGGCTGCCCTGCAGCTCCAGGCTCCACACGGAGCCGTCGGCGCTGGGCGCCCAGGACAGCGGCGGGGAGCCCTTCTCGGCGGGGCCGCCCTCGTCCTCCGGCGACAGCGGGGGCGCGGGGGAGGGCGGCCGCGGCGCGGGCCCGGGCCCCGCCGCCCGCCCCTCCGGGTACGCGCGCTGCACCAGACGCCCGAAATCGTAGCCCGGAGGGTCCCGGGCGCGGCCGCAGCCCGCGCGGTGCCGGGGCTCGGGCTGAGCGGGCTCCGGGGAGTGCGGCCGGGCCGCGAAGTTGGTGTCGATGAGGCAGCTGAGGTCGGGCTGGTCCCGGAAGCGCGCGGGCGGCGGGGGCCCCGCGGGGCGGTGTCGCAGCGGAGGGCTGTCCCCCAGCTCCTCCAGCCCGGCCCTGTCGCCCTCCGACAGCCGCTCCCAGCTCTCCTGCGTCTCCAGGGCGCTGCCCACGCTGTCCCTGCGCCGCCTGCGGAGGGCGGGGTCAGGGCGGGCCCGGCGGGAGGGGCGGGGCCCGGGGTGTGAACAAGGGGCGGGGTCTCGGGTGATAGGCCGGGATGCGGGTGGGGGCGGGGCCTACCCTGGGCGCGGGATGCGCGTGAGGCAGTCTCCGGTCTGCGCGTCCCACACGCAGACGTGGCCGGCCAGGCAGCAGCTCACCAGCAGCATGCCGTCGCTGGCCAGGCACTCGATGTCCTGGGGGAGGCAGTGAGTGGAACCGGGGCCCCGCCCGCCGCCCCGCCCCGCCGCGCGCGCCCACAACCCCCGCGCGGCTCACCATGAGGTGCCCGCGCAGCACCAGCGGCACGATCTCCGTCTCGGGCGGCGCGTAGCCGTAGTCGTCGCACGGGAGCTCCCCGCGCCGCCGCCGCGCCGGCCCGCCGCTGGGCTGCCCGTAGTTGCGCGGGCAGAGCACCCGGTAGAGGCAGAGCATCAGCAGCACGAGGACGATGCCGGCCGCCAGTCCGAGCGCCGCCACCCTGCGCCGCGTGAACGGGCGTGATCGGGGCGTGACCGGGGCTCCCCGCCCGCCCGCCCGCCCGGCCCCGCATGCCCCGCCGCCGCGCGCCTTACTTGTACAACGTGACATCGCCGTGGGCCGGGGCCCCCCCTGGCCCCAGCGACTCGGCCTCCCAGAGCTCCCCGGGCCGGGGCCCGGGCGCGGCCCACGAGCTGCGGCTGTCCTGGGGGCGCCGCCCCTCCAGGGCCTCCCGGGGGTTCAGGCGCAGAGTGACCGGGATGACGGGCAGCAGGCTGACGTACCTGGGGGGGGACGGGGGCGGGCCTCACCTGGGGGGCGGGCCTCGGGGCCACCGCCCACTCGTGCAACCCGCCCCGCCCACCCCTCGCAGGGGCGTGGCCTGCGGCGGACCCCGCCTACCTCCCCAGCCAGGGCGTGGCCTGTGGCCGACCCCGCCCACCCCTCGCAGGGGCGTGGCCGGCGGCGGACCCCGCCCATCTCCCCAGCCAGGGCGTGGCCTGTGGCCGACCCCGCCCACCCCCGCCAGGGCGAGCCCCGCGCTCACCGCTTGGCCAGCGTGATGTTGTAGTAGCTGAAGAGCGTGGGCCAGTGGCGGAAGGACAGCTTCCTCCACAGCTCCTCGTCCTCGGGCCCCCAGGTGACTTCGGGGACCGGGCCGTCGCCGACGCCCTCCGCCGCGCCGGCACGCTCGGGGGGCCCCCCGGGCAGGGTCTGGTTCTCCGGCAGCTTCGGGGCGTCCGGGGGGAAGATGGCGAAGGCCGGGTCGGCGTGGCGGGCGGGCACGGGCAGCGGCGGCAGCGCGCCGTCGCCCAGCGGGCTCTGCTCCGTCACCTGCGCCGTGAGGTAGGTGCGCAGCCCGGCCGGGTCCGTGTACAGCAGGATGCTGATCCACACCACCGTGCCGGCCTGCGGCGGGACCCGGTGTTAGGGGGCGGGGGACCCCGTGGCGGGGGGGGGGGGGGGGGGGGGGAGGCCCCGTCGGTGGGCAGGCAGGGCGGGGGGGGGGGGGGGGTGTCCCGGCCGCGCATGCGCAGGGCCCGCCGCGTACCATGATGAGGCGCTGGGCGAGGCGGGTGCGGGCCAGGAAGTAGATGACGCGCAGCCGCTTGGGCAGCCGCAGGTTGCGGAAGGAGGACGGCTGCAGCGTGATGGTGTGCGGCGTGGACGGCCGCGCGGCCGGGTGGCGCTCGAAGCGCGCGGGCCGCCCCACGGGCTTGCTGGGCGGCAGGCAGGCCTCGGCGGGCAGCCGCTTGTTCAGGTCCGCCAGCTGCGGGGGGGGGGGGGGGCCCGCGGTCAGCGCGCACCCCGCACCCCCCCCCCCCCCCCCCCCCCGCACAGCGCCCCGCGCACCTCCATGCGGCGGATGTCAATGGACAGGACGGTGGTGAAGAACAGCATCTGGAGGAAGAAGTCAGACACCAGGCCCACGACGGCGAAGAGACAGAACTCCTGGAGACAGGGGGGCGTGAGCGAGGGCCCCCGGCCCCCCGTTCCAGCCGACCCCCCCCAGCTTCCTGGCCGACGCCGCCCTGGACCCACGGCAGAAGAAAGGAAGAAGTGGGAGACCTCGGCCGTCCCTAGGCCCAAGAGGCCAAATGAACTTGCTGAAAGCTTTCCAGCCCTGCAGTGGGTCTCGCGGCCCCTGGCATGGCTGGCGCGGCAACGCAGCCTCTACCAGAACCTGGACAAGTCACAGTGGCGCTAACGGCCAGGACTGCGGGAAATACACAGACACCGGCCTGCAGGCGGGCAGGCAGGGACGCACACGCGCGGCAGGGCCCAGGGCTGGCGGGCCTGGCTGCGCCCCCGGCCCTGTGACTGGGCTGGGGTGCTGGGCACCCTGTGGTGACCCAGCCTGCCCGGCAGGTCACCGCGGCCAGGCACACCCTGTCCTGTGCACAGCCGTGGGCCTTGGCACTGTACCTGGATGGCAGGGACAAGGGTGAAGTAGCCCACAAGGATGATGCCCAGCTCGGTGGCCATGTTCTTCATGATGGACCAGCTCTCACTGCTTAGGCCTGTGGAGGGCGGCACCAGGGCACAGGGGTCAGGGGACCTGCACTGGGGGGGTGTGTGCAAAGCCTGCCCCGCCCCGCCCGCTTTGCATTACCTTGGGCAATCCGGAGCTTCACCTCCAGGTCCACAGGGGTGGAGACCACTGACTTGGTGAGCACCAGCACGTTCTCTAAGCCAATGACCACCACGAGGTACGGGAAAATCTCTCTGGAGACGCACAGGGAGACAGGAAGGAGAGGATGGCGGGTGGTGAGGTGCCACAACACGGTGCTTCGCACCAGGCTCGCTGGGCCTGCCAGGGGCTCCCACCCCTCGCTCCGAACGAGAGCACCACCAGCTGCGCTGCCCAGCTGTCAGGCCTCACCATACTGCTGGCTGGCAGGATGACGCCTGCCGAGGCAGGCCGAGCCACCAGAACTAATGGCAGGTGGGACCCAACCCTCAAGTCTAGGCCTGCGCAACTTCCCACTTGGGGGGATGGCTGAGCTGTGACCAGGGGAAGGGAGGCTGCTGGGGGAGGAGGGGTAGCAGGTGGGGCGCAGGTGATGGGCGCAGAAGAGACAGTGGGTGTCCAGGTGTTCGACCACAAGGAAAGCAACAGAAATGGTACCGAGTCACTGCTCCCTAGAGTGAGGCCTGGCTGGGAGTTTGTTCGAGCACTGGGGGTTGGGGTAAGAGACAGGCCACTCCACTACTAACCACAGACAGGCAAGGCAGGCAGGGGCTTGGTTTGGCTTAGGCCAAAGATCCAAAGATGAAGACAGGGAAGGGCTTCCAGACCCAAGAAGAGTCAAACACAAAGTAAACAGTAAAAAATGAGTATGCCCCTTTACATATAAGTGTCAGTGCTAGGGCCTTGAACTCGGGGCTTCATGCTCTGGTTCAAGTGAAAAACTCAAGGCCCATGCAGAGCTCTACCAACTGAGCCCTGCCTCGACAGCTGGCTCTTTGCTGGCTAACTGGACACAGGGGTTTTGTCTGCTCCAATTGGCTTTGGACCTTGATTTCAGCAGAGGCAGATTTCAGCCTCATGAGTAGCTGGGATTATAGATGTGAACCATCGCCCCCAGATGAGGCATTTAACATTAAAACTGAGAAAATGGGTGGGTTCCAGTGGCTCACGCCTATAATCCTAGCTACTCAGAAGGCTGAGATCTGAGGATTCCAGTTCTAAACTAGCCTGGGCAGAAAAATCTGTAAGGATATTCTCTCCAATTAATCAGCAGAAAAGCCCAAAGTGGAGGTGTGGCTCAAGTGGCACAGTGCCAGCCTTAAGTGAAAAAGCCAAGCTAGAGAGCAAGAGGTCCTGAGTTCAAGCCTTAATACCATCACATCACAAAAAAAGTGGACAAGGGCTGGGAAGGTGGCTCAGTGGTAGAGCGCTTGCCTCGTATGCATGAGGCCCTGGGTTTGATTTCTCAGCACCACATAAGCAGAAAAAAGCTGGAAGTGGCGATGTGGGTCAAGTGGTAGAGCGCTCGCCTTGAGCTGAAGAGCTGAGGACAGCGCCCAGGCCCAGAGTTCAAGTCCCATGACCGACACACAAAAAAGTGGACAAATAGACCTGTGGATATGCTTAAAACACACGTGCAAGTCATACTTACATATACACATAAGTGCACTTACATGCTTACACTGTCCATGCCCATAACTATTACATATACATTTAAATATACTATATTTAGATACACAACACAAACATGAACATAAACTAGATAAGAGGAAGAAAATGTACATTTTTTTTATTGTGCTGTTCATGGAGCTTGAACTCAGGGCCTGGGCACTGTCTCTGAACTTCTTTTGCTTTACTACTTGAGCCATAGTACCACTTGCAGCTTTTTCTGAGTAGTTTGTTGGAGATAAGAGTCTCACGGCCTTTCCTACCCAGACTGGCTCTGAAACCACAATCCTCAGATCTCAGCCTCCTGAGTAGCTAGGATTACAGGTATGAGCCACCGGTGCCCAGTAGAAATGTACCTCTTAAAGATCAAAGCTAACCAGGTGAAGGCGCGGGAAGCCAGGGAAGCCAAGTGCAGATGTGCGAGGCTCTCTGGCCGAAGGGCCCACCCCATGGCCCGGTGAGGCCTGCAGGGACCTACCCGCCATTGAGGGTGGGCGTGAGGCCAAAGAGCGTGCAGAGTCCCACAGACATGAGCAGCGAGCTGAGCACCGTGACCACAGCCGCCAGGGCCAGACCCCACTTGGACTTGACCATGTCGATCTTGCCTAGAGGGCAGAGAAAGAACATCGAGGGGTCCCGGGCCTTAGCCCCTGGTCCCTCTAACTAAGCTTAGGCCCTGACAAGGAGGAGGGGAAGAGTCCCAGGGTTTAACCAAAAGAAAAGCATTCCCAGGGGCATTTCACTTCTCAGGGTCACAGACACCCACGGGTTTAGGGAACCCGAGAGCTAGGAGGAATACCTCTTCCCTTCTCCCTTCCCCCTCCCCCCCCCCCCCCCCCAGCCCCACACTAGGGAGGAGGCCCTGATTCTGGTGATCTTTCCAGGGAGACACCCGTGAGCTCCGTGGTGGACATGCAGGTAGACATACGTGTGGAGAAGTAGATGTAGGCAAACAGGATGATGTAGGTGGTCACCAGGGGGATGAGCTCAGCCACGCCGATCTCCTCCTTGAAGTGCACATGGACCAGGCTCTCGGCGCGAAGGCTGCAGTTTGGGCTGGGGTGCAGGAGCATGAGCCGGGCACGCAGGCTCCCCAGGAAGCTAGAAACGAGGAGACCTTCTGGGAGGGGCCAGGGGTCGCCATCCTCCCATGTGGGTTTGATTCTGGCAGTAGCGGGGTTTGAACTCAGGGCCTGCCCCTTGAGCGACACTCCCAGGCCGATTCCCCTATGCTGGGAAGAAACTTCTAGAAGATACCCTGGCTCCTTCTCCAAAGCCCTTGGGGAAGCTGATCAGGGGCACGTCCAGGGCCCTGGCCTCTGTGAAGGTCACCTGCAGCGCCCCACGGGGAACACTTGAGCCGCAGGAGGCTCCAAAATGTCCGGGTTGAGGGGAAAGGAGGGGAGACCCCCAGACACTCAAACTGCCAGCTCCTTCTTACACACACACACA